AAACCATACCGGATAGGGCTTCTGTTTACATATGAAATGTTGTTATCGTCTCAATTTCTGCAACGAACCGGTGGTGCGGCGGTTCGCTCTTCGAAGTGTTGCGCGGTGTATCGGATCGGTTTTTGCAACGTTTTCATTGTAATGTAAACACCAATCGGAGCAATTTCGGTTCAATGCGTGACTCGGATGGAATCTGGCAAACAACAACTTACTATTCTAATAATATATAGAAGAAAATACGACGGCATAGATGAGCGGGGCGGAAGCTGTTTACACTCGGGCCGTAACTTTTCGCGAACGAAACAACATGAAACTCATCCGATACAATGTAAACATAGCCGAAAGAAGGCCAAAAAACTATTTTACATATCTCAAGTGTGCCGAAAACCGCACGGAACAAGAACTCGTCTCCGAAAAAGGTGTCCGAATTCGTAGGTGGCATTAATGAAATTCCATTTTCGTGGCGTTTGCCAGAGATTTTACAGTCTCAGTTGCGCGAGCTCCCACAGTCGTAGCTTTACATCTCCTGTATAAGCAGGTTGAGTAATCTCTTTACGTGGTGTTACTATAGTCCGACTATAGCACCTGATGTTGAATAAAATTATCATATATTTGAAACAAACGTCACATTATACAAGTCTTACGTTAAAATTATCAAATTTTACGTTTACTTTTACTTGTACCTTTACTATTACGTTTAGAACCGTTTGGTTCTACGACTAAACAAAAATTAAACAAAACAACATGGCCGCCCTATTTGCCATGCCAAAATGCGTCCACTGCGCATGCGCAAGGCGGAAAAATCCATAGGGTAGCTACACCGGCCCCTAAATGGGCATATACTAATAGTCCATTTACTAACTCCATGAAGGCTACCGTTCTTAACCTATAACACAAATATAATATAAATTGTCAATTTTCACTGTTTAGTTCAACATGTTCATAGTCCTGGCCAGATTACTCTCCGTCCATTTCAAGCAAACACAACTTCGCCGCAGGACGTGTTAGTATCGTTGTATTGATCTTGTTCTCTCCCCTTCTTCGGTGTTTCGCTCGGGTTGATACTATCGAACTGGTTTTTACTTTCACTGTGCGTACATAACCGTCTTTACTCGGCATAACATCCGTCACCAGTGCCAATGGCCATTGTCCTCTTGAGTAGTTTTCATCCGCTATGAGCACCAAATCTCCTATCTTTAAGTTTCTTCTTGGAACATTCCACTTCTTTCTTTCCAGTAAGCTTGGTAAATATTCTCTTATCATTGGTTCTGGCGAATTACCATTTCTGTAACTGGATGTTTGAAGGGCAAAATAATCGGATGCTTTAAATCACCATCGATTGGCGCGTTAACGAGTCTACCGCCAACTCTTAACAATCCGTATTCTAATTGTGGATTCAACTGTCGAAGTGACATTCCTGTCTTCCGGAGGAATACTTTATCCGGTTTCTTAGCACGTTCAGCAACCGTGAGTATCTTCAATTCTTCTGGGAACGCAGTTAGTTGCACACGTCGAAGGATGTCATCTTGAGCCTTCTTCAATTCTTCTATCGTAAGACGTCCAACATTCGCTGTTGTCTCGACTTCAGTATCGACCACGACTGAGCTCTTCTTTAGCTT